ACATGGGCCTTGTAGGAATTAGTATCAAGGGAAGTATATTACATCAGCGGAGGGAACATGGCCAATTGGAAGGCGAGGTTAAAGATACAGGAGAGAAATGACCTTTTATTGACTGCTTATAACTTCCTGGAATTATACTGAACACTTTGCATATATTATTTAATTTTCAACAGTATTATAAAGTAAGTGCTATTATTTCCTTTCTACAATTGAGGACATTGAGGTTAGGAGGCCTGTTTTACTTAATTGCTGATAGTCTCACAGCTTGTAAGTAGGGGAGTTGGGTTAACTAAGGTCTGCCTATTTTTTTTTTAATATATTTTATTGATTTTTCACAGAGAGGAAGAGAGGGGGATAAAGAGTTAGAAACATTGATGAGAGAGAAGCATCGATCAGCTGCCTTCTGCACACCCCCTACTGGGGATGTGCCTGCAACCAAGGTACATGCCCTTGACCGGAATCGAACCTGGGACCCTTCAGTCCCCAGGCTGACGCTCTATCCAGTGAGCCAAACCAGCTAGGGCAGGTCTGCCAATTTTTTAACCAAGACACAGGATCCCAAACAGGACAGAAAGAGATGGGTTCAGGGGTACAAGTGGAGAAATTGATCTTGAAAAGGAGGATGCTAATAGATGAACTTGCCAAACTAGACTGAATTCCTTGAGAACAAAGACTGTATCTTGTATCTCTTACTCCACTGCCAAGCGGATGAGTAAATGGAAGGAGAAAACTATAATTTACTTTTTAAAATTAGTAAAAGTGAAGCCTTTTTATGTAAGCGGTTTGTTGATTTTTCAGTCTTCCAGTGGTTACTCAGTCTGACCTCACAGCAACCCAGTGAAATAGATGTTATCTTTTTATTTTTTGTTTGTGTTGATTTCAGAGAAGAAAGTAGAGGAAGACAGAGGTAGAAACATCAATGACGAGAGAGAATCACTGATCGGCTGCACACCCCTCACTGGAGATCAAGCCCATACCCAGGCATGTGTCCTGACCAGGAATTGAAACGTGACCTCTTGGTTCATAGGTCGATACTCAACCACTGAGCCAAGCTGGCCGGGCAAAGTAGATACTATCTTTTTTTTTTTTTTTTTTTAAATATATTTTATTGATTTTTTTACAGAGAGGAAGGGAGAGAGATAGTTAGAAACATCAATGAGAGAGAAACATCGATCAGCTGCCTCCTGCACATCCCCCACTGGGGAAATGCCCGCAACCCAGGTACATGCCCTTGACCGGAATCGACCCTGGGACCTTTCAGTCCGCAGGCCGACGCTCTATCCACTGAGCCAAACGGGTTTCGGCGATGCTATCTTTTTTTTATAGATGAGATGTTATCCTCTTTTGGGGTTGAAGTAGCTTACCTATGGTCAGTTAGAAAGTCTGTCAATCCTGTTACAAGAGAGGTGCTTATGATCCTCCTAATGTCTCTTTCCTTAGCTCTCTTCCTCCAAACCCCAGTGGTCAGACCTGCTCAAATCTCGGCATTTCTCCAGGATCAACCTACCCCAGGATGGTGTGGAATACAGCACATTCACCTGTCACCCAGCCGCCATTGTATGTTTTCTCCATTGCTGCTGCTTTCTGGGCCCTGGCCGTCTTCATCTTAGCTAATTACCATGTCTTTGGGAGGGCTTGTTGTCCTTGGGGTGAACTTTTGTGTCCAGCTCTGTCAAATGAAGACCTAGCCTACACCTTTGGGCAGACAACACCAACATGGTTGAATGATGCCATTTACACTCAGAGAATCTTGTGGTATAAGTCTTTTTTAAAATGTTTAATTTTTTAAACAAGAATATAGCTTTAGGAAGAGTCTGTTCAGTAGTTTAGTTATTCTTATTTATTTAGTTTATGGAGAGGAGCCAAATATGAATAACTTAAAATAGTGGACAGTTTTTGAAAAGTTATGCCTATTTATAGCTATAATTAACTTGTTTGTTTTTATATATAGATTGATATTAAAATCATGGTATTTCTTGGATGAATACTGTTTAGATATTATTAAAGTTAGTCTTAGAAAGCCTGTAGGTGAATAATGAGTTGACTGTAATTCCATTTTTGAAGTCTGGAAAGATCAAATAAAGACTTCTCTTGACTCTGAGATCAACCACTTAGATATAGTTGCATCTGAGTTATGAGAAATTACACAGTGTAATCTTTTGCTTTTTAGACTAACTTTATGTTTGAAAAGTTTTTGTTTCTGCATTTTGTTGCTTAGTTTAGTTAGATTTAGAAGAGTAGTTTTAACTTGGGATGCATGGGACTGAAAATCCTGAGGTTGTATACTTAGTTTTAATGTATGTGTTTGTGTGCATTTTTTCTGGGAAGTTGCTCTATCCTTTTATTAGATTCTCAAAGGGGATCTGTAACAAAAAAAGATAGAGGCTCTCAAGGAAATGTTTATAGCCCATTTGGTTTTTCACTTGCTTATTGTTCCATTTCTGTTTATGAGCAATGGCACAGAACAAGGACCATGGTCCTAAAAGTTGAAATCAGAACTTTACTTCTCTGAATTGGCTGTTTTCATTAAAAAAAAAAAAAAAAATGTTTTAAAGGAATTTCTCAAGTATCCCTAACTTGTATTCATTAGGTATTTGTCCATTATACTGAAGTCCAAGGTTGGTAATTCTGCAAATATATTTTGTCCATTTCTTGCCTATAAGTAAAGTGGATCTGTCTTCTAATCAACATGTGTAGGTGTTGAGACAACCTGTACTAAAAAAGGGCCGGGGGGGGTGGGCGGGGGAAGAAGCATCTCTTTCAATTACCTCCTTTATCTTACCCTCTTTTATGCTCAGTGTTAAGTCTTATATGCACATTGTTTGCTCTTCTGTCAATTTGAGTTATTGTGTGGCAGATACTAAATGTGAGAGATAGGTTTACCCCTTCAACTCTTATGAATCTGGTTCCTTCTTTCTATAGCTGCTTCCAAGGCTGCGTCTCTCCACTGGACTGGTGAGAGGGTTGTCAGTGTTTTGCTCTTGGGCCTACTTCCAGCTGCGTATTTGAATCCTTCTTCTGCGATGGACTATTCCCTGGCTGCAGTCCTCTCTCTCCATAGTCATTGGTAAGTACAGCAGTGCTTTCAGTATTATGTTGTTAGTTCAGTTTGTTTGCTGTGAGCTTGTTTCATTATCTATATTATAAAAATCCAGTGGCCCTAAGGCTGTAACGACCAAAGACTGGTCACCAGGAGGCTGCGTGCGCGGCAAGGCGCACATGCAGGTGGGTGGGACTTGACTCTGGGTCTCGCAGCATGGTGGGACTCCGGGGAGTCCCACAACGCTGCGGGGTCTGGGTCTCACATGATTTTGCACGCTGGGTCACTAGTTGCATATAAGGGAGAAATTGACATACTCAAGACCTGTAGAAAACATAATGTAAGGTATTTCTATGCCCAGATTTATATATTTGCTGGGGTCCAACCCCAGCAGGTCCAGGGGTCCCCAAAGGTGTGAACGGAGTCGGCGAAGAAGGGATGACACAGAGACAGTGTTCAGTTGGTCAGCAGCCTAGCCAGGATCTCTAGCCACAATCTCCAGCCAAGTTCTGTGTCCATGTTCTCTTGCTAGGTTCTCCAGCCAGGTTCTCCAGGTTCTCAGTTAAAGTGATTAACTACCTGCCTGGCACTTAGTTAAGGGGTTTTATCCCCTCCCTAACTTCAGGGAAAAATCCCTACCTGGGGAAACAACCTTTCTCTGAGAGGTGACCTTTGTTAAAACACATAGCACTAAGGGGAGCAAACATATTAAGAACAGTATGCTATATACGCCAGGTCCCTTGAAACATATGCTGTGCAGATGTTTCTTCCCTGCAGCGACTGTGTCAAGCAGCAAGGATGGACCGGCTCCCTGCATATATTCACATGCTCATTCGATGTCTTCATTCCCATATCTAATAGACTTTTTTAAAAATATATTTTTATTGATTTTAGAGAAAAAGGGAGAGCGAGATAGAAACATCAATGATGAGAGAGAATCACCGATCGGCTGCCTTCTGCACGCCCCATGCTGGGGATTGAGCTCGCAACTCAGGCATGTGTCCTGACTGGGAATTGAACCATGACCTCCTGGTTCATAGGTTGATGCTCAACCCCTAGCCACGTCAGCTGGGATCTAATAGACATTTTTAATGTAGCATGCTATAGAACCAAGTTGCTGATGTCCCCCCAGATCGCTTCCTCTAGCACTCTCACCCACCTGAATTAATAGCATTTCTGTTCTGTTTGTTCAAGCCCCAAGCTTGGTCATTATCTTCTATTCCAGTAATAGTCTCTTAACTGGTCCTCCTTCTGTCTATTCCCAACACAGCTGCCCCCTGATTCTGTTAAAATATTAAGTCAGGTCAAGACATTCCCCTTCTCAAAACCCTTTTTGTATCAGCTGATGAATAGCTAAACAAAATGTGCTGTATGTGACTATAGGCACACCTCGGGGATAGTACGGGGTTCAGTTCCAGACCGCTGCAATAAAACAAGTATTGCAATAAAGAGAGCCACCGGAGTTCTTTGCTTTCCCAGTGCATGTAAAAGTTATTTACACTGTATATACTATAGTCTATTAAGTGTGCAGTAGCATTATGTCTAAAAAAAGTATAGTGTTAGCCGTTTTGGCTCAGTGCATAGAGTGTCGGCCTGTGGACCAGAGGTTCCCGGGTTTGATTCCGGTCAAGGGCATGAACCTTAGTTGCAGGCTCCTCCGTGGCCCAGGCCCTGGTTGGGGCATGTGCAGGAGGCAACCAGTCCGCGTGTTTCTCTCACATTGATATTTCTCTCTGTCTTTCCCCTCTCTCTCCCACTCTCCCTAAAAATTAATGGGAAAATATATCTTTGGGTGATGATTTAAAAAAAAATTAAAAATTAAAAAAGTACATACCTTAATTTAAAAATACATTTTGCTGGAAAATTCTAACCATCATCTGAGCCTTCAGCAAGTCATAATTTTTTTTCTGGTGAAGGGTTTTTCCCAAGTAACATAAAAAATCACTATAATAAATATAATAGTAATAGAAATGTTTGAAATATTTTGAGGATTATCAAAATGTGACGGAGATGCCCAGCTGGCATGGCTGAGTTGTTGAGCGTTGACGTATGATGCAGGAGGTCATGGTTTGATTCCCGGTCAGGGCATATGCCTGGGTTGTGGGCTTGATCCCCAGTAGGGGGTGTGCAGGAGGCAGCTGATCAATGATTTTCTCTATCTCTCACCCTTGTTCTCTGAAATCAATAAAAATATATTTTTAAAAAATGTGACAGAGAGATGAAGTGAGCAAATGCTGTTCGAAAAATGGCACCAATATACATGCTCGATGCAGGGTTGCCACAGACTGCAATATCTGCCAAATGTAGTGAAATGCAATAAAATGAGGTATGCCTGTGTTATTTGGCCAAAGAATGGAAGCACTGATACAAGCCACAACATGGATGAACCTTGAAAACATTAGGTTAAGTGAAAGAAACTGGACACAAAAGGCCACATGTATGATTGCATTTATATAAAATGTCCAGAATAGGCAAATCCATTGAGATGGAAAACAAATTATGGTTGCATAATAGGCTGTTAGGTACAGGTTTGTTTTTTGTTTTGTTTTTGTTTTTTAATATATTTTTATTGATTTCAGAGAGAAGGGAGAGGGAGAGAGAAACATCAATGATGAGAATCATTGATTGGTTGCCTCCTGCAACCCAAAGAAGACCACACCAAGACACATCATAATTAAAATGCCAAGGGCTAAAGACAAAAAGAGAATCTTAAAAGCAGCAAGAGAAAAGCAGCTAGTTATCTACAAGGGAGTGCCCATACAATTGTCAGCTGATTTCTCAACAGAAACTTTACAGGTCAGAAGGAAGTGGCAAGAAATATTCAAAGTAATGAATAGCAAGGACCTACAACCAAGATTACCCAGCAAAGCTCTCATTTAGAATTGAGGGTCAGATAAAGGGTTTCACAGACAAAGCTAAAGGAGTTCATCACCAAACATTTCAGTATTACATGAAATGTGGAAGGTATTCTTTAAGAAGAGAAAGAAGAAGATAAAAAATAAAAACTAGTAATAAATACATATCCATCAACAATTGAATCTAAAAATCAAAATAAATGAACAAGAAATCTAATGGACAAAATAAACTGGAGAATAAAATAGAATCAGAGGCATGGAAACTGGAACAGATTGGTGAATCTCAGAGGGAAGTGGAGGGGAGCAGGAAGAGATTAACCAAAGGTCTTACCTATGGACTTTAGGGTGGTGAAGGCCTGGGGTGGGGTGGGAACCGGGGGGAGGGGGGCAATGGAAAAAAGGGGGACATCTGTAATACTCTCGACATTAAAGATTTTAAAAAATGAAGTAAAATTAGGTCACTCCCCACTTAAAGCACATCTGTGGTTTCTCATCCTATCTAATAATAGAGAAACATGGTAATTAACTGTAACTTTGCTACCCTTCCCATTGGCTAATCAGCGAGATATGCAAATTAACTGCCAACCAAGATGGTGCCCAGCAGCCAGGCAGCTGAAGGGAACAGGAGGCTTGCTTGCTCCAGTGAAGGAGGAAGCCAAGGTTCCTGCCTACCGCCGCCCAGCTCTGAGCTGCACTGTAAGCAACTGTGTTTCAATTTTAGAACCTTAACAAA